CAGATATACTTGAAACCCCTCGATTATCTCGTTTAGATAGACGATCGAAATGCGCATACGAATCGCATGGGAAAAGGAAGTGTATGTACAAACACTCGAATGCACGCTATCGCTTCGATTCAATATACATCCATATATAACCATGAATCATCCTTCACACCACTGATATATTTTCTCAATCAAATGAAAAAAAAATTGAAATTCGTCGCAAATAGTTTTTGCTGCGTGAACGCGTATTATAACGAATAATACGTTAATAAATAAACTTCATCACTTGGAAAAAATTGTGTATCCCTTGTATACCTTCGCTCGAAGAAGAAGACGTCTTAGATAGGCACACACTCGTCTCGAGTAGCCGGCAAGATTTTAATTAGTCCGGGAAACAATCGCTCGTTCTCGCGGGAGGAAGGCATTCATCGCGCTTTCGTATCCTTTCATTCGAGCAAAGCTGATCCCCGAGGGTCCTCTAAAAACTTCTTTTCACCGAAACTTATCGCTGGCTTCTTACAATTTCAAGGGAAAAAAAGAGCGGAGGAGGAAAAAAGGGGAAGTAGGAAGGGAGGGAGGCAGAGAAGAAAGAGAATCGTGATTACAAGTAGGATCGTTTAATCGCTTTGCCGTTAAGGCTAAAAAACGGCACGCCGCCGTGCACTGGATTCCATTAATGCGGTAACACGCCAGAGTATTACGCGCCATGGTGGTGAAACTGTGTCACCAAGTTTGTTTCTCAACCCCCCCCCCCCTCTCTCCTCCCTAAGTGGTGCGCGGGTATTCTCAGAATATCGCTCTCGAAATACATGGGCAAACGGCAATAAGAGGGAGGACGGGAGGAAGGGAAATTAACCAGACGAAAATGTTGCAATTCGGCGCAATATCGTGTCCCCGGTTAAGTAGAAGATAGACACAAAAGCGTGCAATGGCAAATGTGTAGGAATCGATCTGTCCTACCTTCATAATACCGGCAACTCTCTCGTGCATAATCATGAGAATGTATGACATACGTATGCCCTGGTTTTCCTTGCCCACCACCACCACCACCACCGTCACTGCCGCCACTACCTCCTGCCGCTGCTTCAACCCCGTTGCTATTCCCCGAAAGGATCGTTAGCACGAGGTAATGCCAGTGAAGGATATCCGTTCGAAAAGGTCAAGAGTCCACGTCGAGGTTGCCGTGTTCTACGCGGGCTTGATTCTTTCATTGTTCCCATGCTACATTTCTCTTCTTTTCTTCCTCCACGTGTACATTTCCGTTTCGACCACGGCCCAGAAAAAAAATAACTGGGGAAAGGAGGAAGGTTGGGGGGAGGAGAGAAAATGGGGAAAGGCGGAAAAAGATGTGAAAAACATCGAGAGCCACCGCATTCTTCTTTTACCTTTGAAACATTACGAGCTCGAGAGCTTTGATGGACTCGCTAATGGAAACGTTTATCCCTCGAAGTCCTGTAATACTTGATGGGATGAAATGGTCCGCGAATTTTTCCATTACTTTTTTTTACTCGGGGGGGAGGGGAAAACTTAAAAGTACCGTGATTCGATCTTTAACCACCACCATCACCATCGTCCATCGTCGTCGTTAGATTAAATCGAGCATACGCGTTTCTATCGTTCATCCTTCTCAGTGCAATCTCGTGTCCTTGTTTCATTTCGAGAACGACACTCGAGACTCGATTAAACGCGTTAGAAAAAAGAGATCGAAAAATGGAGGAGGATGGAGGAGACACGTGTCCAATTCGTTCCACGGATGCCACAGATTATACCTTGAAATGCAATCCTGTGTTTCGTCCTTCCAATCGTTTTTTCTTTTTTTTTTTTTTATCGGCGGCAATTGGCGCGGTGCACGTCGGCCAATAAATTGTGCAAGGGAAACGAGATGAGCGTGGAAAACACGGGTACGATAACCCCGGTTCGACCTCGAGTGGACTCTTGACCCGCTTTCAGGACCCGTTTAATTCATGGTAACGTTCCGTTGTAGTTGATTAAATCGCCGCCTCGGCCACCCTATCGATCCGCGATCGTTTGATCGGCATGGTTAATCGAGCGGCCTGAAAGCGCAACCGAAGAATCCATCGAAACAGCTATCAATCTCTTTATTCGAATCGAGTACCCCCGGATCTGGGTCAACGCGGGCGAAAGTATATACGGCGAAACATCTCCTTTTTTTCCCCCCTCTTTTTCGATTACAAATAAGTTTAATCCTTGAACCCTCGACGAGGGATCCCCGCAAAGTTGGTCCATTAGAGATGGCGAAAAAGCTTCGGCGTTCGAGCCACCGAATTACCACCGAAATCCCCCTTCTTCATTATTCACGACGCGCTCGAAATCGCGTGCAAGAAACGGAAAATATATTTTTTCCTTATGCATTATCGAGCAAATATTATTATCTTTTGATCTTCTTCGCGCGAGCTTGTATAATAGCTTTCACCCGATTTTTGTAATTAAAATTAATCGCGTGTCGTTAGGAAGTCGCGATGCAACCTCTCTCCCTCTAGTCTTTCCTCTAGAAGAAATTGATCGATGCTTCGCCTCTCGTTACAAGCTTCCCTTTCTTCTCTCCTTTCTAATTGCATTCGCTTCGTTGCAAAAAATATATATATATATATACACTAGCTGCGCACTAACGTTTGTACGACAAGCGAAATATTAAACCTCAGCTTGACAATACCGTCACGTCCCGCACAATTGTCAATGGCTATTCGTCATTCAATCATCGCAGCAGTCGCACTTTGCGCGTGGGTGACGCAGTCGAAAACAAAAGGTAGATGGTTTCATTGTTCGATGATACGACGCAACTCGGGTATAAATTTATTTTCCCGCGATTATATAAAAGTAGTAAAAGAATGTTAAATATCCGTTTTCGAAATTGACGCGCGCGTAAATTCGTGAATTTATTATTATATATGGTTATTCCATACCGCGAAATCGATCAAGATTAATGAGATGAAACGGTGGTGTAATGATGTTTCGAGAAGATGACCTCGTGACGAGCGAGCGATGCGACGGTGAACGAAAGAAAGAATGCTTCGTAGTCGGTAAAAGTTGACGAGCGAAGAGAACGACCGTGGAGGAATTATGCCGGACAAAAATCGAGGCTGTCGAGATGGACAACGCGACAAAGATTTCTTTGCCGATGAGATATCGTCCATCGGCATGTCGCTACGGCCCAGCGGTAGCGCTTCTTCCGGTAAGTAAAAAAATAAAAAACCTCACGTTGAAAATGAACATTTTTTAATCCAATGAATTATTCTTGCGATTAATTTCGTCGTAAAAATAAATAAATCCTTCCGTACGAACGAAGGTTCGAGAAAAAAATTTTCTAACACAACCAAGTTTGCTTTTCAAAAATTAGAGACTATCTTTACTCGTAATTATCTATATTTTCAATCCTAAAATCTTAATTTAACAAAATCATGGAAGTTACAATTACTTTTTACCTCCTTTTTTTTTTCTTAATTCATTTTCGTTTGATGGATATAGAAGAACAGTTTCTTGATTACGTTCCCGTTGGTGAGCTGATGACGATTCTCCGCAGCTATGCAACTCGTCAATTGGTATCTCTCGATGGCACAGTGGTTGATCGTGGAATTCGATTTCTCAAGACCTGTTCGAAACTGATTGAACAAATTCAGGATGATGCATTCTTTCATCAAGACTTCTGATTCGGCCACGCTCGTGTCGCCGATGGCGCAGAGCCAAAGCAGCTTATCCATCCATGCTTCCTTCTCGCTCTCCTCGTTTTTGTAGTTCACCCCGTGGTCCCGCATCCACAGGGTTAGCTGTAATTTCCGAATCGATAAATAAACCGAATCGCAACATCTATCGCATCGCCCCTCCGTCTCCGAATTTTAACAACAAATGAAATTCTTCGAAAGAAAGAGATAGCTTTCTATACTCGGGCTCGCTACGTTGGCTTACCTTTCCCCGACATTTGAAAGTCAAAGGATTGCCGAAGAAGTACACTTTGTCGATACCACCCGGCAACGTTGAAGGTTCCAAACAAGTTAAACGATTCTCTCGGATGTCGAGTCGCTTGAGCAACGGTATTTTGCCGAAGATCACCGGTTCAATTATATCGATCCTATTGAAAGACAGGTCCAATTGTTCCAGGTATACTAAATCCTTGAACCATGCCTCCCTCACACGCGTGATGTTATTGTTCGGTAGGCCGAGTTTCCTCAAGTTAGCCAAACTGTCGAACCCCTCCAAATGAATGTCGTTTATACGACAATGGTGCATGTTCAAGGATTGCAAATGTTTCGCGTATCTCGTGAAAGCTCGCTCCGGAATGTATCGCAAATTCGAGTTGAAGATCAATATAGACCTCACCGAGTCCGTCGTCTCGTTGAAAACTGTTTCTAACGTGACGTTGAAGCATTGCAACCGATCGACCGACCCTCCGTTCCCTGAAACGTTTATCGATAAATTAGAGAAATTTCGAAAAATAATTTTATCTTTTCTCTTCTCGTAAAAAAACAAAAAAAAAAAACGTAAAAAACGATCATCGAAGGTGTTCCACTTTTTCCGATTTCGTATACGGAACAATTGAAAATTAAAAGGGGAAAAGTTTTTGCCTCACCTTCTTCGTGTTTGTTCACGATGCATATCGTAAGCGCAGGCCCGATGCACTTGAGAATGCACAGCGGAAAGACGAGGAACGACGTACGACGCATTTTTAAGTGGCTTGCACAGTTTGACGATTTTACGACGAATGACTACGCAATGAAAATTAGACGGGAGGAATCAGCTCCTCGCTTCGAATTATCAGGCCTCGTTTCCTGTCATTTTCTATACACCGTCGTTATCGCAAATTCCTCTGATTGAGTCTCTAATTAAAAAAAAAAAATAATAATAATAACAATAATATTTGTTCGTCTATAGTAGCTCGGGATATAATTCGATGCGATTAATTGCTCGATCGTTTCCTTTGTTTTGTTTTTTTTTCTTTTCTTCTTCTCCTTCTTCTTTCTTTTGCGAGATCATAGAGGAAGGAAATGATTCGAATGTTACAGGTATCTCATCCCTTGCGAGTTGTGGCGAGGTGGACGCGTTGCCGGAATTACCAGCCCAGGACGAGGAACGATTGCAACGCGCCGCACGTTTGTTGCAACAAAGGCTCGTTTTACGGCAATGGCTCACTGACCATGGCTTGCACAGCCATTATCAAAAGTGAGCAGAATATTTTCCACAGTTACTTTTAGATATAATAAATATCTAAAAATATCTATGGACAATTGTTTGTCATGCGAATATTGCGGTCCTCTTCGAAAGGAAAGATAAGATCTGTTTTTCATTTTCTTTTCTTCTTCTTCTTTTTTTTTTTTTTTTTTCATCAGATTAATGCAGATGGAAGTGATGTCTCTGGAGGATGTGTATTGGGTGGAGGATAATGCGGCACGGGCAGCCCTTGGCAAGGATTTACCGCGATGGACCCAGGCCAGACAGACGTTGCCTACTTCAAAGGAAGATTTAGAAACCCTCAAGGCTGATTTGTGGAGCGCCGTGGTGAAAAATAGCCAACATCAAGACGCTTGGACATGGGGTATGACTCTTTCTCATCGTTTTTCGTAAACTGTAAAATTGTATATAATACACAGAAAATAAAAAGTTTTTCAAGGAAAAACTTGATGAATAACTTTCCTTCCTTTGTACCTGGCAGGTGGAATGTTAGTTGTCTCCGTGTCAGTAGCAGGGTTAGTGACCCTGGCTGCTATGACACAGCCGGCTCTAGCACCAGAGGCAAAACACTCCTTGTTACAGTATGTGACCGGAAAGTATTTACTACCGAGCAATTGTCGGGTTCATTTTGCATGGGATGAGCCGCAGCTTGTGGGAGAAACTATGACGTTTACAGTGAAGGTATACGCAATAAAAGTTTTTAAAATAATATATTTAAAAACGAGTAATAATAAAAATAAAATTTATTTCTTTGGCCAAACAGCTAGCTAATTTATTTTTTATGACGATCGTATTTCATTTTCAAAATGAATGATTTACAGTTTTATCAACGCAACGGCCAACCGTATCCAATTTGTGACAAAGACAATTTGATCGTCGAAGTCACAGAGGGTACACGAAGAGTAGCTACCCTAATAGAGTTAGGAGGCACTGATCCCTTAGCTGCAAACACTGCAGTTGTAAAGTTTACTGTCCGCCATGCTGGACAATATCGAATAGCCGTACTTATTGGTTCGTGTCACGTTCACGGCAGCCCGTTCCTTAAAAATTTTCTTCCCGGTACGATTCGCCATTATCCGAAAGATATATTTATGATAGAATTGTACCCAATTGTTAAATCACGTTTATTTATATTTTATATTATTTAGGCCCCCCAGATCCGAATAAGACCGTGTTCGTAAGACAAAGTTCAACGGTCGTTTGTACAGCCGGAGTTGCACATTCTATGACAATAGAGCCGCGAGATGAATACGATAATCTATGTATATTTGGACCTGGTGATAAACCTACGGAGGGTTATCAAGTTAACATTACTCAGGCAAGTAATGTTAATGGAAAACACGGCTAGAATTTAACGATGGTTACGTTGTGATTAACTTCTGATTAACTTATTTTAATTACAGATTGGTAGTACAATGAATAAATCGGCTATTACAAATTGCAGTATACAATTTGACTATGACTCTCCAAATCAAAGGATTCGTTTAAAAGTCAGTTTCCCGAAGGGCAACTGTTACCATGCGACAGTTAGTTTACGCGGATTGCAACTACATAACGGCGATTTTGACATCATTGTACTCGAGAGTACGAAAGATACTTTGTTCTTCACAATTTTCTTCACAACGAAGTTTTATTTTTACAATATTTATATTTGTTAGCGTAGGTGATGTTGCTAGAATGGTACATAATAACGTGGCCTCGAAAGATCCCAACATTTGTTATGCCGCAAAATTGTTGGGTATGCAAGGAGAAAAATTTTCGAAACCGAAAAAAGTTGTCTGCTTTATTTCGCCTAAACAGCTCACTATCAAGGAATACTTGTTAAGAATTATACCAAAAAGGCTCGTTACTTTCAGGCTTTGCCCATCAACTAAAGTAAGTAGTTTCAATTTCTCGGAAGGGAAAAATTAAAATTTTTTTTTCCTAGATATATAACACGTGCAATAATTTAAAACGATGTCTTTCAGTTCCATTTTGATTGTTCAAATAATCAATACGATGGTTACGACTCTTTTTCTATCGATGATGGATGTCAGCCACCCGTTGAATTAATTTCTCTGTATCGAGATATAATAGCCGCTACATTTACGTTGTTTTTGTTGAAAAATATAGGTGGAAGTGAAACTTTTGCTGACAAACAAGATTTCTTTTATCACGAAGTTCGAAAGCATCATCAAAAACATTACCACGAAAAACTTCTGGTGAAAGTTCAACGCGATAAATTGCTAGAATCGGTAAATATCGAGTATTAATTAAAGCGGTGTATAATTTAGTCAAATTGATTACTCTTTTTCTTTTTTTTTTTTGCTTTAAGTCTATGAAATCTACAAAAGGATTCTCTGTTAGTGATTGGTGTAGAAATTTTGAGATCAATTTTCAAGGTGAACAAGGTACGTTCTTTACAGAATACGAGAATATTTCTTGCTATTGAAAGAAAAATAATATTTAATATTTCATTTCAGGTGTTGATTGGGGTGGTGTTCGACGAGAGTGGTTTGAATTAATTTGCGCGGCTCTATTCGATTCTGGAAACGGTTTATTCGCGTCCTTCGGAGAATCACAGCAGGCACTAGTTCATCCTAACAGTAAACGGCCTTCACAGCTTAAACTAAAGCATTATGAGTTTGCAGGGCGAATCGTGGGCAAATGCTTGTATGAATCTGCTCTTGGTGGTTCCTATAGACAGTTAGTACGTGCAAGATTTACGAGATCATTTCTTGCGCAAATCATAGGCCTCAGAGTACATTATAAGGTATAATTTTTTAAGATCTACATCAATAAAAAAGAAAATTTAAAAAAAAAATAAAGCAATATTTTTATTTTTCTTATAGTATTTCGAACAGGATGATCCAGATTTATATCTGAGCAAAATAAAGTATATTCTTGAAAATGATGTCGAGGAAATGGAACTTTATTTTGTCGAAGAAGAATATGACAAAGATGGTCAATTATTAAAAGTAAGATCATATTATATATTTATTTATATTACCTTATTTAAATTCATTTATTATAGGTAGCTGAATTAATTCCTGGAGGTAGTAAGATTCGTGTAACAAACGATACGAAACTTCGTTATTTGGATGCACTCGCACAACATAGACTCGCTAGTTCCGTACGAAACGAAGTAGAACATTTTCTAAGAGGTCTAAACGAACTTATTCCTGATAATCTTTTGGGAATTTTTGATGAAAACGAACTTGAAGTATACAATTTGTATTTTTCTCTCTCTCTCTCTCTCTCTCTCATTTGTAAACATCTTCCACTTACTTCATATGTATTTGTTATAGTTATTGTTGTGTGGTACTGGTGAATACAGCGTAGCAGATTTACGTGCGCACCATATAGCTAATGGAAGCTCCCCAGAGTTTCTTCGAGTTCTTGATTGGTTCTGGACTGCAGTTAGCAACTTCACGCAAGAGGAGATGGCCCGACTATTACAATTTACCACAGGCTGTTCGCAATTACCACCAGGTGGATTTCAACAATTGAGTCCACGATTTCAAATTACAGCAGCACCAACTTTTGCCAATTTGCCTACAGCACATACTTGGTAAGTAATTTTATATTTTAATTATAGTAGTAGTAATTTTTCAAAATAATAATTATTTAAATATTTTTACAGCTTCAATCAGCTCTGCTTACCCGATTATGAATGTTACGATCACTTTGAGCGAGCTTTGTTATTAGCGATTAGTGAAGGTACTGAAGGATTTGGTATGATTTAAAGATTAAATGTCAATTAAGTTCTAGTCTTATCGAATTTTATTATTTATTTCTTTTTTTTTTTTATTTGTAATCAATACAATTTTATTTAAATATGTATTACGAGATCAGAAAAAATTATCTCACATTTTTATACGTAAAAAAAAAAAAAAGAAAGGAAAAAAAAATTTTTTTTCTTTTTTTTTATTTTTTTGTTTTTTTTTTTTTTTTTTTTTTTTTTTTTTTTT